TATGATTTCGATGCACTCACGGAGGAGAACACAAATCAACTTTCATCTGTCAAAACAACCAAGCGGGTTCCGCTAAAATTTAGTGCCAAAGTCAGCCACTTATCCAGTTTTTTCCAACAACCCAAACATCGTCGTCTTCCTTTTTTTTTGTCGGAGGGATGTTCGGCTCCCTGCAAGGGAAGGTTCTAGGGATGTTGTGAAATTGGAACTAGATAGGTTTTTAATAAGATAAATTGATTATGAAATGGAGTTAAAGATTGCAATAGGGAGAGTGGGAATGAGATTAAAGTGATTAATTTCAGAATTAATTAGGGGTTGTTTGTATTTTAAGTTTTGAATTCATTTTGAATTTTGCGTTTTGAGTGTCTAAATTGAGATTATTGAAAATGTGTTCGTTTTGACATTTTGAAAACACCCAAAACTGCAAATTTGTCGTTTTGGGTTTTCTTTGTAAATTTTTAACTTATTTATAAAAACGCATTTTCAAAATAGGAAAGAGAACGCATTTTCACTGTTTTGAAAAATCGAAAATAGAAAACAATTTGAAAATAGTAAAGAGAACATGCCCTTAGGGTTTTGAGAATAAGTTTTGAAGATTTGGAGTGATGATAGGAGTTTTTTCTCCGTTGAACAAGATACTATTTCCGACGAACTGTAGGAATTCTTCGTTGGAGGTTTGGAGTGATGACATGAGTTTTTTCTCCATTTTCCATTTTCTTTTATGTTTTTTTGTTTTTGTTTTAACATTTTAATTATTTTATGAGAAAAATAGTAAATTACCATTTTGGCCTCCCTTATTTTGGTAAAAAGTGGTCAATTTTTTATTTTAGTGGTCAATGACGGAGAAATGGACGGAAATCATCCAAAAGAGCCTCACGTGCAACGTTTGGAAAGGTTAGGGGTGACGCCTCAACAAATCAAAAGTTTGGGAAAAATCTACTAGTATTTCAAAGGTTTGAAACTTTTGCTGTAATTATCCCAAAATTAATTGCAACCATCTTCTCAATTTTATTAAAAACCGTACAAATAAATCTCAAATAATTTATTAAAAAATCAAAAAATAAAAATAAAATCACGATCTTCTTCCTCGTTCACCTCCCCCCAACCCCCATCCTTGCCCTCAAGACCCAAACCAAAGCAAACTACTCGTTTTTATACGTACCATGCAGATATAAAAAAGTATGCACCCATTAGTGTCGGTGGTGGAAATTTGATCTCTGATTTCAAGAGTCACTTTTCACTATTCGGAACTAAGAGAACTATTTCTATTGCACATGGGTTTGTGTTTGTTTTTATTGTTGTCACCATTTTTCTTGCCTTTGGCCCCTCTCCGAACACTTCTTCGTTGTGGTTCACTAACATTTTTGCTGCCAGTAGTAGCGACGGTTCGGGTTCTGCAACACCATCATCATTTTTCTCTTATTTTTATGCTCATAATTCTTCACTGACAGAAGATAATGTTAGATCCCAGTACCCCCACGATTAAACCATCCAATTTGAATAAAGAATCCCCAGTTCAAGTCTTGAAGCCAATTAATAGTTCAAGTCTTCTGTAAATTGGACTGCCAATAATCGTATGCCACCTAGGGGTGTCTAAAAGTCCTGGACCGAACCGGATCGAACCGAACCCGAATCGAATCGAGCGGTTCTTCATAAATTAAATACCCGAACGGGTACCCGAATCGAGAACCGATGAGTTTGAGTCGGGTCTCAGGTATAGACTAAGAACCGAAGAACCGAATAAGAATCGAAACTAAATAATTTTTTAGTTTTTATATTGAATTAATTAAATTATTTTATTTTTTTTAAACAAATTAGCAAATTAATTAAATAAAT